AACCAGCACGGCTCAAGAAGACACCTCGATAATGAACCACAAAAGGAAAGCTACAAACCACGGCCTGAAATGGAACACTCCTACCAAAAGGCGGCTAGACCACACCAGTCCGAGACTCGAAACCAACCTAAGCCCACCACCAACGAGCCTCCAAGAGAGACCCAAACCCCCGACCTTCCACACAAGCCCTCGCCCGTCGCAGCTCCAAGAACTACCACAGGCCGAGGAGTTCCGACGACCAAGCACCAAGGGCCGCCGGAAAAAGGAATTTCGACGGACAAGCCTCACACGAGAGCCAAGCACCCCCTCAAGCCCAGCCCACTGCACCCCTGACAAGAAAACCGACGACCGCACCAACTCCTCGCCATGGCATCTCTGGTAGGAAGCAATCCACGCGAAGAAGGACCGCCGCTCGTCGGGGACCAGACTGACAGGAAAAGGAGGCATCGACTCCCGCGCCGCCACTGGCCGCGCCCCCCGCTCCGGTGAGGAGGCTCTCAGATCGGGAATTTTTAGACTAGGGTTTAGGGAATTTGGGGCAAAAACGGGAGGAAGTTAACTTTGTATATTTCTTACTACAACAAAAATTAATACATAATATTCACATGTAATATTTTGTATATTTTAAACATGTTGTGTATGTATCTTTTTACTACATATTATTCACCTGTAATATTTTATATATTTTAAACATTATATATATATATATATATATATATATTAATTTGTGTGTGTATGTGTGTGTGTTAAACCTTTTCAGAATGTTGACTTACAAAATAATTTAAAAAAGTTTTAGATGAACTTATATTTTTTAAGAATAATATAGAATATTTTAGATTATCTTACATATGTTATATAACATTTTAGGTGTTCTTAATATTTTAAACATACATGTTTAATGTTATTTTAAACAAGATAAAAAAGGTATAAGAATATTTGTGAATATCATTTAGCTAATCAAGTATAACTGATACTAAAATAATAAACTAACAACTCATTTGTCGAACTGTAGGCAAATTATCATATTATAAATAGATCCATATTGAGGTTCCATTTAATTTCCAGTTCTCTTTGATCATAAGATTCCATTAAGAGTCAGAGTCTGTCTTTATCTTGTGTTGGCATGTGCTTAAGAAATCGGTTTTTAGTCAAAACCAATTATATGTTGTAGTTTAGCATGTAAGTAACAGATAAAGAAGAGTCAGGGCCATCTTTACCGTGCGTTGGCATGTTCTTGAATAAATCATTTTTAATCACGACCAATTATATGTTAAGTAATATAAAAGAGTTAAAAATATTAATTTGTTGGGATGACGAGTTCCTCAGTTATGAAACATGAGGTTTTTAATAATATACTATTATTTCATATGCAACATTTTATTATTTGGCAATTTCTCTACGACTAATCACTATTTCATCTATTAATACACTTCAATTTATAATATTCCCCAAAATAAATACAACCCGTGCATAGTACGGTTACATACTAGTGTATAAGAAATCACAGTGATTTGTTATTAATGTTGATAAATAAGATTCAATTGTAATATTGTCATGAATATCATAATAGTATTCCCATAATTGATTTTCGAATTTTTGTAATCATATTTGCAATTTTATAGTGCATATCCAAATAATATTTTCTAGAAATGAAATATATTTAACAGACATTTTTGAAAGACATGTTGTATGGTTGATTACTAAAATAATAAGAAATTGCAGTGATTCGTAATTAATTTTGAAGAATTGAATTTTTATTGCGATAATTACCATAAATAATTTTCCAATTTATACTACTTTACTTATACAAGACGTCGTGCTATTAACCGGATTGCACGAATTACAACATGTGGTATAATTTAATTTTCATTTTTTTTATAAATATTAAAATATTGTTACTATATCTATCTATACATATATAAAGAGAGAACCTATTTACTAAAAAAGTAACAAGAAAAGTTAACCAGCATTTATTGCATTTTATTTTCGGCAGTTTTTGAGTTTTTTTTCTTAAATTATTCCCAAAAAATCGAGTAGATATATATGCACCCTAAATTTATGGGTTTTGTTGATTTGTATTTAGGTAAATTTCGACTGATACTTACAATTTTGCAGAAGTCAAAATTCTTTCTCATTTTTTAATTAAAAAAACTGTTTACAATAAAATCGAGAATTTTGAATTAAGCAAAATACTATCACATATTTTTTTTCCTAATTGCAACAAATCAATTGTTTATTAAAAAATTCGGGTTGCATATAAATCAGGTTAATTTAGGTAAAATTAGGCATGACAATTCTGTAAAAGTCAAAATTATCTCATTTTTTATTAAAAAAAATTGTTTACCATAAAATAAAGAATTTTGAATTAGGCAGAATACTATAACATGTGTCTATACCTAATTGCAACAGATCATGTTTGTAAACAAAAGATCAGATTGGATAGAAGTCGACCCAAGTTCAAATTAATAATTAAAATATTAAAATCTCATATCATTTGGCTACTACTTTCTTTAGTTCGGATTTTTTTAAAACATAAAAAGAGTTAGATAATATTAATTTGAAATTCAATATAAAATCGGATTGGAACATTCTAAAGATTTGATTTTTGTTTAATCCTATAGAATACAAATTTGAAATTAATAGCATACAAGCACACAATTTTTTCCTTCCTTGAAGTAAATAATTCACATTTTTTAAACAATAAGGCTATAGATTATCAGGAAAGACGTTTTACAATCTCCGTTATATTTGGCTATGCAATCTTCATAAAACCAATATTAATCATATTATATATATCTTGCTAAATAATTTAATTGATTTATTTAAGCCTATTTAGGATCCTATAATATATAGGTGTCAAGTGTTTATTTTCTTAGATACGGTTTACAAAGGTACGTTGTTTTCTGTTGAATAATATATGTTGCATTATGTTTTATTCCAATACAATTTTTTTTTTTTTTAAGTTCTTCCAATCATCCAAATATAAATGTTTACCTTAACGAAATTAGCCCGTGCATCGCATGAGTACCGCACTAATTTCGTTTGGTAGTAAGTCAGCATCTCTATATCTATATCTATCTATATATATAAAGAGAGAACCTATTTACAAAAAATAGTAACAAAAAAATCTGCCAAAATTATTTGCATGTCACTTTGAGAAATTATTTGAATTTTATTTATCATAAAATCAGGCAGCATTAAATGCTCCATTAAATGGTGAGTTATTCAATTAAAGTTTATTCATTCCATTTTATCTTACCTTCTATATAACCATACTAGTATATCCTGTCCACATGCACATATGTACATAAAATATTTTAAGTAATATTTGAGAATTTAATATTAAAATTCTAGATAATGAACATATTGCATTTTAAAAAAATTATCATTAGGAAAAATAAATTAACGATTTTATTATTATGAACAATTGTTTATTATCATTATATTATAATAGTTTGATTATTATTATTATTATTATTATTATTATTATTATTATTATTATTATTATTATTATTATTATTATTATTATTAATATTATTATTATTACTAAGAAACAATTGTTTATAAGATTCTAAAGTTGTTTGACTATGCTATTAAAACAATTTACTAATTATTTTTAAAGAATTTTTTTTTTCATGAGATACAAAAGAAAAAGATAATATTGATGTTAATATAAATAACTTGAAACAATTGTTTATAATTAGGTAATTTATATTTATTGTGAATTATTATTAGTTGGTATTAGCAATAACTATTATATAATATAATAGAAAAAAATACATGATTACACTTAATAAGATGTATTAATGAGAAGTAAAAAAATATTAATGATAAATTTTGTAACCGAAAATGGAGGGAAATTTTTTAGAGGTTTTATTAAATAAGTTTTATTAAATGCCACATGCTAGCAATTATATATATAGATTCCTAACATTAAATTTGTTACATAATTAAATTAATTACATCAACAAATAATACTGACATAAATCTTTATTATTAGATAAAAAAGAAAATTTCTTCTATAAGTGTTGTAAATAACAATGACATTATACGACAATAATTTTTCTAATAAAATAATATTTGAGCATTATAATGAACCAAAGTATGTAATATTATTATTTTTCTGTATTAAACAATAAATATATATTAAAATATTATTTATATTAATATAAACGGGTCAGCGGGCTAATATATTGTTAAAATAAAGTTTTGAAAAAATGTTATAAAATATGAAACCCCGTACATCGCACGTGATTCTCACTAGTTTACTTATAAAGTCAAAGTTTATATTTTAGATTATTCAATCAACCTCTTTAAATATATATGTATATGTATGTATGTGTGTGTGTGTGATTTTTTATATTTAAATTTAAATATATATATATATATATATATGTTTTTTAATTAGCAAAGGTGCATTAATATAGCAATACTCAATTCAATTTATAAAATATTATTCCATTTCGCCAATAAACACCGAAGATTCGATCTTAGTGTCCCACATCAGGGTTGATCTACGGTGGGAAAGAAAAAAGAAATAATAATAATAAAAAAACAAATACACACACCTATCAAAATTGCTATTTCGTACTATCACATGTCCTCAAACCAATGGATAAAAACAGTCAATGGACCATATGGGTCTTGCATATTGTAAAATATCACTAATGCTATTGAGTCATGGAATGGTTCTCTTATGGAGTCATTCATAATTTTATGCATTGATATGTATTCAATGTGTTTTTGTTATAAAACACGTGTCCGTACACTATTTGTGAATAACTATAGATGACTCTATAAGCCGAGCCATCCGATGGGTGCATAACAAAACCGTGTAAAATATATCCAAATTATTAAAAAAATAGAAAACGTCTGAATACTCTTTCTCTCTCTTGTTGAATTTTTCCTCTTTATAAATAAATATTATTCCGCACACTCACTTTCCCTATCCTCCATTCCTCTTTCAACCTATCCCTACAGTCTCCCAACGTCGTCTCTCGATGGCTGAGCCGCTCAACGTCCGCCGTGTGATGTGGAAGAACCTCCTCATCAACAGGATCCACATGCTGCTCAATGCGGCCGCGATTCTCGCTGTATTCTACTACAGATTCACCACTCTCCGCCGCATAATCCACACCGGGGAGACCCCTCTCGTTCCTTACCTCGTCGTCATCCTGTCCGAGATTGTTCTCACCTTCCTATGGATCCTGCATCAGGCCTACCGGTGGAGGCCTGTCAAGCGGACGGTGTACCCGGAGAGGCTGCCGGAGGACGCCAAGCTCCACCCGGTCGACGTCTTCATATGCACGGCCGATCCTAGTAAGGAGCCGTCCCTGGGGGTGATGAACACCGTCATTTCGGCTATGTCGCTCGACTACCCGCCGGATAAGCTTGCCGTCTATCTCCATGATGACGGGGGCTCTCACGTGACCCTTCACGCCACGCGCGAGGCCTGGAAATTCGCAAGGTCGTGGATCCCTTTCTGCAGGAAGTACCAGTTGAAATCGAGGTGCCCCGAGCCTTACTTTGAAGGCAAGGAGTGTGCGGACGAGAAGTTCCTTGGGACCAGCGATTTCGTGGCCGATAGGAAGATAATTGAGGTTCGTCGAGTGATTATTTGTTAAATTGATTGATGGCATTTCGTAAGGTTTACTGTCTGATACTTTGGCTTGAGTTACTATTGCTCCTTAATTTTTATTTGCAGAAAAAATACGAAGAATTCCAGGAGGCACTAGAGAAGAATTCTGTCAACGCAGAGGGCTCTGTTAGCAGAGATCATTCGCCCACCATCGAGGTATAAAGTCTGTTGAGATAATATTTGTATGTTGTCCTTCTATATTCAGTTAGGTGGATGATAGGGAAATCAGATGAATCTACACTCAGAACCTTAAATTTTGTTCCTACAAAGTTATTGTTGGTACTTTGTGCTCTTTTGTAGATTTCTTGTTTAGTTAAATTCTGGTCTAAGAATGAGTTTTCTGTGCTGTATTCATGGTCAAGCATTCTTCAAATCTTTTGGTCACAAGTGAGAATTTGATATTTTGAAGAGGGTGCTGGTAACTTTGAATGCGAAAACCATGATTCCAGCAGCTTTTAAATATACAGCTTGCAGTTTCATTCGCAACTTTTGATGACAACATATTAGTCTGGCCTCACAGTGCCAGTGACTGTAGATGAAGTGTACTGAGTTGATCCATTTAGGTTTCCCCATGTTTTGAAATGGTCAACATACTGATATACTTAATATAGCGTAATTGCTGCCAACAAAAATTCTAGGCAAAAAGATGGTTATGAAGATTGAGAGTGGAATTATGTTTTCCTTTGGCCACCAAATTTGAGCAGAGTAAATTAATTTATTTATCCGACATGTGTTGGCAGGTGATGACTGAGGGTTCCCCTGAAGGGATGCCTCTTCTTGTGTATGCCTCTCGGGAGAAACGGCCTGGTCATCCCCACCATTTCAAAGGAGGAGCACTGAATGCTCTTGTAAGCTCTCTTTAGACCTCTGCCTTTTACGTTTGTGTGTGTTAATTTTTCTGCTACTGTTGGAGGACTCGTTCCAAGGGTACTGGTGTACAACAATAACCTCCTGAACATGGTTTTACATTAGGCCTTTGGGTCTATATAAGCATGGAATTTGCTGGATCTTTCCATTTTTGTGTTCATCTATTTCATTTTTCTTACCCTGATTTCTGTTTTGGTTTTATCTTCACTCTCATATTATGATTTGTGGTTTGCAGCTCCGAGTATCTGCATTAATCACCAATGCTCCATACTTCTTGGTACTGGACTGTGACATGTACTGTGGGGATCCATCATCTGCTCGCCATGCCATGTGCTTTTATCTCGACCCCAAAATCTCTCATGAAATAGCTTGGGTTCAGTACCCTCAGAAATTCCGCAACGTGAGCGAGCATGATATCTATGATGGTCGACTGACCCCCATTTGGGTATTGGATCTTCAACGCTTTCACTGATAATTTGCATGCCATGTTTTTCCTGCTTGTATAAATCTAATCTACTTATCTCAACAACGACAGAGGGAAGGGCTAGGCCTTGATGGGCTTAGAGGACCTACCATCTACGGCTGCAACTTTTTCATGACCAGGGAAGCAATCTATGGAATTGATAGGAATCTGAAGGGTACTCCTTTATACTATATAAGGCTCTTAACCTTCTACTGTTAGAATTATCATAATTTAGAAGTTGGTACAGCATCCCTTTTTTCTAACTTTAATGTTTATGCCCTGTCTTGCCCTTTAAAATTTGTGACCAGGTATCGATGTCAACCAAATGAAGAAGTCATTTGGCCCAAGCAACGAGTTCATCAAATCAATTAACAGAAATTACCGCCCACAGCTTCCGGAGGATAGAAAGCCCTCTGAGGCATTGGAAAAAGAGCTTCAGCTGGTGGCCTCTTGTACTTACGACAATGACACAAAATGGGGCGACGTGGTAAGTATTTGTGATTATATTTGGAAAGTGAACGCCCTCATATGTTTTGAACTCAGGATTTAAATTATTTTCTTTCCTTTTTGTTCCCGTGCAGGTCGGTTACAAGTATTTCACTGTGGTGGAGGACTCTATTACTAGCCTTGAGTTGCACTGCAAGGGCTGGATATCTGTTTTGCTCGACCCCGATCGGCCGTGTTTCTTGGGCTCATGCACAACGAAGCTGAACGACATGTTGGTTCAGCAAACACGTTGGTCTTTTGGGCTGATGCAGATTGGACTGTCAAAATACACCCCTCTTATATATGGCCCATTGAGGATGTCGGTTCTTGAAAGCATGTGTTATGGTGCACTTATACTAGATTGTCTCTATGCAGTGCCTTTTTATGGTTTATGCATCATTCCCCCAGTCTGCCTAGCTCTCGGAATTCCTCTGTATCCCAAGGTGAGCCTCAGTGTATACATAATTATGTCGAGCTCTAGGAAGAGTTTCTGTAACTAATACTACAAAAGAACTAAAAAAAAAAAAGAAACGTCTGATGCATGCTTGACTATTGTTGCATTTGTTTTGCACGTGGCACTTGTAGGTCTCGGAGCCGATGTTCCTCGTATTTGTCTTCATCTTCATCTCGTCTCAGCTGAAGCACATCCAGGAGGTGATCTCGTACGGTGATGACTTGAAGACGGCCCTGTACGAAGCGAGGGTCTGGATGATGAAATCGGCCTCGTGCTACTTTTTTGCCATCCTCAACGCAGTTTTGGACAGGCTCGGCCTCTTGCAGGCACACTTCACCTTAACCAACAAAGCAGTGGATGCGGACCAGGTGAAGCGCTACCAGCAGGGCACATACGATTTCCAGATATCCCCACTCATGCTCACGCCTATGTGCACTCTCTATTTACTCAACTTGGTGTGCCTTGTCCTTGGGGTCGTCAAGCTGGCGAGCGCGTGGGAAGAGCTTTTCGTGCAGGCTGCACTCTCCTTGTTTGGGGTGGTAATGAATTGGTATTTTCTGCAGGGCATGTTTTTCAGGCTCGACAGCGGCCGGGTTTCGCCGTTTGTGACTTTGATTTCTGTGCTGCTGGTTGTATCCGTGTTGGGGATTGGGTATCTGGTTACGCTTTACTCGGTTTGAATCAAAAGACGATTTGGGTTTATTATTGCAATTTGTGAAGAATTCTTCCCAACTTAGAATCTGAATTAGTATGAGTGGTTGGGTTAGTCAGGTCGATACTCTTATGAACATATTGTTTATCCCTATTGCGCTGCTGAACAGTAGTTGTACTGATTTAGCAGGAACGCTGAAAATTCATGTTTATGTCCTTGATGTTGATTGGAGGAAATTATAATCTAGTCACTGATGGCCAGCATTTAATTAGATAATATGGTCAGTAAGTGATGTAGACTACTACTACTACTACTATTATTATTATTATTATTATTATTATTATTATTATTATTATTATTATTATTATTATTATTATTATTATTATTATTATTATTATGATGTTCTTGATGTTGATGGGAGGAAAATATAATCTAGTCACTCATGGCCAGCATTTAATAAGATAATAGGTCAGTAATGTAGACTATTATTATTAATTATTAGAATTGATTATTATTATTAATTGTTTTATTAATCTTAGTTTGATGGATAAGTTGAGGTTAGAGTTATGGGTCAGACTTCTAGTTTATTTTATTTGGTGAATTTTAAATAAAATATGAATTGATATCATGTTTTAAGTGTTTTTGAAATTGTGATTTCATTAAATCGTCACACTCGTAAGCTTTTCTACATCAGTAAATTTATTGTCTGGTTCACTTTTGTAAACGAAAACAAACTAGATGAAGTTATGCTTCACAAGTTAGTTAGAATGAACAATTTTGAAGTTGTCTGCATTGTCTAAACTATCTTAAAAGGCAGAGTTTTTCT